GACGATCATCATCAAGGCAATTAATTAATAGGAACGAACTCACCAAATGAATCCATGAGCAATGTCAATGATGAAATTGCATGGCGCTGCTGGTCCATCTTTCTTGCTTGAATCAGAATAATATCCACCCTTGACCGCTTCCTCCAGCTCGTACTGATGATACTTTTTAACTGAAATAACATGTTGCCTCTCCTTGAATACACCTTGATCCATGGTGATTTCTTTTAATCTGGGGAATTTTCTGTCTGTATATGTGCTTAAAGGAGTCTCCAGGATCACCACTTGTGTGTCGCTTCTCCGTGACGTCGTCGCAAACGAAAGAACGTCGGGGGTTCAGTGGGGGAGTTTGTTTTCAGAACTCCTTCTTGACTCTTTGCTTGAACTCTTTGTTATCGGCTTCTGGACCGGTGTGATGGTTGGTTTTTTTTTATACTGTTATAAAAATATGACGACATATATTTTCCTATTTTTTACTCGTCAGATAAACAGCGGAGAAAATGCACGTCAAACTTGTTCCTTAGTCCTACCGTAAACGCATTCTGGTTTAAATATCGTACGTATCCTACCACTTCTAGCACACGGGTACACTTCCTTCCAATCTCCTCAACTGACAAATTTTCGCCAACCCATTCTTGATGGCAGCCCTGACCTCGTACATTCAATGCCAGTGGCTAGTTTCGGAACCGCAAATCGCCGACTGATCATTTTTACGATATCTTGATGATCAATCTGTTATCAGATATGAGCCGTCCTGCAAGTGATCTCATACAATTTCAATGGTTAGTAAATTAAAAAAAATGCATAATTTCATCTCAAATAAATAAAATGTCGGGTGACTAGATAACGTCTGTATGGATTTTTCATTAAAGGCTTGTATTTGTTGAAAAAAGCGAGACTACTTTGATCAATTTTGAGTAATTATGAGTTGTTCAAATTTACTCGCTGCGAAACTATTCGCTCTGAGTTCAGTTGACTTGCCCCTTGTATTTAACTTAAATTTAACTTTAATATAACTTTAACATCGCTATAACTTTAACATAACTTTAACTTAATTTTAACTTAACATAACTGAACTTTAACTTAACTGTAACTAAACTTTAACGTATCCTTAACTTAATTTTAACTTAAATTTAACATAACTTTAACCTAACATTAACTTAACTTTACATTAGCTTAAGCATTAACATAACTCTAACTTAATTTTGCCATAACTTTAACTCAATTTTAACTTAGCCTTCACAAAACTTTACCTTGAACATTACTTTAACTTTCAAATTATTTTAACTGTATCTTTAACTTCACTCCAACATAACTTTAACTTAACTTTTATTTAACTTTAACAAAACTTTAACTTATCTCTAACTTTGACAAAACTTTAACTTAATTTAAACTTAACTTTAACTGAACTTTAACTTAACATTAACTAAACTTTAACATTACCTTAACTAAATTTTAACTTAAATTTAACATAACTTTAAATTAAATTTAACCTAAAATCAACTTAACATATATTTAACTTAACTTTAACTTTTACATAACTTTAACTTTAACATATTTTGTTTTCCTAGATAACACGGATATAGGGGAAATGGCTGTAATGTTGGCCTATGGATCTAAGATTGGGCACATCGCTAAAAGTCTACTATTCACAAGGGGTAAGTCACTCAGCACAGTATGCCGAGAGTTGATTCGGCACAGCTTGGGCACATCCGTCCACACACCTTCGGCACAATCTGTTTGTTTATTGAATCTGATCTGTTAATTAAATAAAATGGGAGCACTGCTGGACAGCTGTCATTGAAGTTTGACTGCGTATTTCAGAAAAATACTCTAACTATATATACTAGAGGAATTCAGACTAGCAATTCACTTCTCGGTTCACATTTAAACTCGAAATGTAGGCTTCCGAGGGCTGTCGATTGCTATCGATGCCGGTCACAAGTCTTTCAGCTACTACGCAAACGGAGTGTACTACGAACCGGAATGCATGAATAATTTGGATGGATTAGATCATGCAGTGGTGGCGATTGGCTAATCAAGAACTCCTGGTCTAACTCCTGCGGCAACGATGGATATGCTTTGATGGCGGTGAAGGGTAACAACTGTTTCGTTACCACCGATTCGACGTATGTAAATTTGAAGTAAGATTTCTGTATAAATTAGAATTAAGTAAAAGAGTAGTTTCATTTTCGGATATGTGCCATCTTATACGAGATGAAATAAATGGTTTTCCAATTTCGTAAAATGAAACAAAAATTGTAAGTTAATTAGGTTGAGTGGAAGCAATGAAAATTCCGTGTGATTGTGCCGTGAAAAACTAGTTTGGTATTGTTCAAGTGAGTTTTGTTTGGTAGATGACCAACTAACCGAGTGCTGTTGATTTGCTGCTCAAAAGTAGGGTCGTTACAAGGCCGAACTACTTTTCACGGCACAATCACACGGAATTGTTATTGCTTCCACTCAACCTAATTAACTTACAACATACTCGAATTCTCCCGGAAAGCCAACCCGATGGCAAAACCGAACATCTTCGCTTGGATCCTCCTTCTTGGCATAATCCATTCCGACGTCGAAAACCTCCGAGAGCTTTTCTTGCCCGGAATCATCACCTTCAGCAGTTCCTCTTCCAGATTGAGCAGAAAGGTCTAGTGCTTCTGAATCGTTTCCGTATGATTCATCAGCAACGTTTGGGCGACATTGCATCAGTAGGACTTGTAACGCGCACCCAGAGCACAGATGATCGATCCGAAGTGCAGATAGTTCTTGTCGCTGAATGTACTGAACTTCAAGCTCTAATTGCCACCCGTTTGGATAATCACCGGGCACATGTCCAACTAGTTGGTATCGGAGACGAACCTTTTGTTCGTCAGAGCCTGCTCGACACCCTCCGACAGTTTGGCATATTTTACTTTTTTATCAGCATCGATAATCTCCATGATGTGATCCTTGAGGTACTTGTTGAATACGTCTCCCATAACTAGGCAGGCCTTGATGGTGATAACCTCGGAGTCCTCCTTAGAGCACATGATGTACCCGATTGGGACGCTGATGTCCACCGTGTTGAAGCTCTTGTTCTTGACGAAGGCTCGTCACGATTCACATAATTCACCCGGGAAGTTCTCCTTGGAGAAGACGCCTAATGTTTTGCCATCCTTGGATCTCTTGATCTCCAGCAGCTTTTCAAAATTGGCCTTGTCTTTGTCGTTCTTATCCCAAACCAGCAGCTTTACCGACGGAATGCCCTCCTCACCGTCCTTCTCGATCTGCTTCAAGAAGTAGAGTTATGTCCCAGCCTGCCTAAGATCACATCTTATGTGCCAGTCAACCTTACATCGTAGTTCCCACGGCAGGCAAGCCATTCAACCAGCCAGCAATAGACCAGACTCAGTCCGACTAACTTCATCGAATACAACCTGAATCCCGGTACGTGACTATTCTATGGAGGACATCGTGGCGACATGGACTGTTCCCAGCTGACCTCAGCAGTTTAACAGTATAGTTAGGTTGTTAGATGGTCGTAAGTAGAACAGGCACTCAGTTCTTAGTTGACTCCCAAAGTGATCGGTTGGTAGTTTTAGTTTGATGAAGTTAATACAAGTGATGTTAGATTAGTTAGATGAAAACGTTTTTTTTTAAGTCCCTGATGACAATCAGTACATAAGTTTAGATCTTCTAACTGGTCAGGAAAAAGATGGACTTTTCGTACAGCACCTTAATCGTATCGGTCAGCTCGTATCCCAGCAGCGCAGGTGGATTTACTGTAATGGTTTCCTCGACTACGCCGACCGCCGTCAGAATGCAATCCGCCTTCTGCAGCGAATCATCATGGGAAAACTCTGGTTCCTTCCAGTTGGCGTAGAGGCGTTTTATTCGTCGGTAGAAGGAATCCTTATCGAGCGCGATAATCGAAATTTTCGGTGCCGTTGTGAATGCAAACCAAACATTCAAGCTGTCAAATATTCCGGGTTGCCAAAGATACCTTAATATTTGTATTTTACAAAAAATCACAGCTTACTCTATGACCGGCACTGCCGGCAAAATTGGTACACCTGCGGCACACTTGCGGCACACTGAGAAAAATGGTGACCCAAGATTGGTGTGCGGAGTGACCTACCCCTTGGCTATTCATCAATATTATCTAGATGAACGCGTCATTGGGACGGTAGTAATGGATATTTTTGGTCGCTATTGAAAATTTAGTCGATTGCTGAATTTATGTGTGGGCCCAAATTAGGGGAATTAAGGCCGACATTACATCCATTTCCCCTATATTTATATGAATGGGAGCGATATCCTACGCAGGTGTGGAAGCTGCCTTCCTGCACATTCGATTACTGTCAATGGATGGCAATCGATGTCCGTCGGTGATTGGCACTAGATTGCGGAACAGAGACCGACGTTAAATAAAGGAAAGAAGATCATTTCCACCATGCGGAAAGTGTCAAAACTATTCGTTTGAAACAAATTCAATATTTTTTGTCGGCACCCTGGATTACATTCCCCCTGTTCCTGCAAACAACAATAAAAACTGACAGCTACATATCTCTGCGGGTGGGTGAAGTATTTTCACGCTGTCGCTCCATGTCAGAAGCTAAAGTAAAATCGCTCATTGGGGAGAAATTCTGAAAACAACTTCGCACGTAGCACCATTGTACAGGGCATTAGCACTTTCGGTTCGCTTTATTAAACAGAATCGTGGAGCGTGCAGCTGATGGGTGTTTTGTTTGCAGATTCACTAGAATTCTCTCACCATTCCAACTCGTTTGCATTCATTCATTCATTCTCGCGGGAGTACGAGTTGTACAGTTTTATTCGGCATTCTTGACTTGTGTGCTAGGCCGGCTGAATGAGGTGAAGCACGGAAAATTAGTTACAGCCATGACGACGACGACGATGATAACGATGAAGGCGAAAAGTTGCGTGGAATTTGAACAAGCAGGTGGAAATTCGCGTGGTTCGCCTTTACCCACCCCCTTGTGAGATGCTATCTGCGGAGAATAATGAATGGTGCACAAGCTTCACTGAGCACTCCGCCGAAGCGCGCCGGCTCGGTACTCGCTTAGCTAATTCATTAAATTTAATTGCTGGCTAAGTGCTTTCGTCGGATGGAAGCTGAAAATGGTAGCTGATTCTCAAATCTGAGCTAATTTTCGGTGGGTTGGTTGGTTTTCTTTTTCATTAGGACAAGTTTAGCGAAGCTTCATCTGCTCCAGCACTTGGCATTTGAAGGGACAACAATCTCATCATTCTGAAGCATTGTCGATTTGAAAATTTAACTCCTGCTTGCAGAGTTCACAGCATCGTACATTCAATAGAATTTAAACTCTTGCCCCATCCCAGCACAACGCCCATGTAACACTTTCCGGATTTCTCTCTTTCTCCTTAGGCACCTCTTCCATTCGACTCGTGGGTCGGCGAACGGCTCGCCACTGCCGATGCCCCCCTTTGCACCCAACGGGACCCGTACCGGAGGGACGAAGAAGTTTCCGGTGTCGAGGATTGCCTACAGTTGAATGTGTACGTTCCGGAACGACCGGCCCAGGAGGGACTGCTGCCGGTGATGGTGTTCTTCCATGGAGGTGGCTGGCAGTGTGGGTCCGGCATGAGAGGCTTCTACGGACCGGACTTTTTGCTCGATCACGACGTAATCTACATTGGAGCCAACTTCCGGTTGGGTCCCCTTGGCTTTCTGAGCACCGAACAGGAAGACTGCCCGGGAAATAATGGACTGAAGGATCAGAGTTTTGTGTTGAAGTGGATTCAGGAGAATATTGCTTCGTTCGGAGGGGATCCCGGTTCGGTGACGATGTTTGGCGAGAGTGCGGGAGGAGCCAGTGGCACCTATCATATGATGTCTCCGATGTCGAAGGGCCTATTCCACCGGGTAATATCGCAGTCCGGAGTGAATCTGGACGCGTGGGCTCAACCGGCACATACGGGAGTTGCTCGGAAGCGATCCGTTCAGTTGGGTGACATGCTGGGATGTCATCAGGGACGAGACGGGAAGTTCCGGGAGATGATGGATTGCTTGCGCAAGGTCTCCGGGGAGGATGTGACGAAGGCGTTCTATGGGTTTTTCGTAAGTAGTGTCGGGAGCTACTGATGGTGTGAACGTAGTATTGTAATGGTATTTGTTTTTAGACTTGGGACACTGATCCGATGATTCCGTTTCCACCGGTCGTTGAATCGGACCTACCAGGGGCCTTCATCACCAAACATCCCCGGGATGAGTACGAACCGCATGCGCTTGCCCTGCCCTGGATGACCGGCTTGACGATGGACGAGGGAGCTCTGAAGAGTGCTTGTAAGTAATTCTAGACATTTTTTGAGCTTTTTACGGTTGCAGCATATATTGACCGATTACGACGAAAAGGATTTGGGCATTGTAGCGTATTTTGGGATCTCGTAAATAGAGAACACAACCACGAATACTGCTTAAAACATACATTGTCCGGTTATCATAGTCGAACCGACTAAAACGAATAAAACGATTACCGACGAAAAAGTGATACCATATTTTATATAAACCGATATAAAGGTTTGGGAAGTCCACCGGCCGACAAATAAAGGTTTTTGGAATATTTTATACTGGGAAATTTTGGTATGAAAATTTCGAGCATCTGAACACCCCCAAATCGCGATTAGAGCCTTAATTAAGGAGATAAATCGATTTAAAGGTTTGGGAAATCCACCGGCCGACAAATAAAGGTTTTTGGAATATTTTATACTGGGAAATTTGGGTATGAAAATTTCGAGCATCTGAACACCCCCCAAATCGCGATTAGAGCCTTAATTAAGGAGATAAATCGATTTAAAGGTTTGGGAAGCCCACCGGCCGACAAATAAAGGTTTTTGGAATATTTTATACTGGGAAATTTGGGTATGAAAATTTCGAGCATCTGAACACCCCCCAAATCGCGATTAGAGCCTTAATTAAGGAGATAAATCGATTTAAAGGTTTGGGAAGCCCACCGGCCGACAAATAAAGGTTTTTGGAATATTTTATACTGGGAAATTTTGGTATGAAAATTTCGAGCATCTGAACACCCCCCAAATCGCGATTAGAGCCTTAATTAAGGAGATAAATCGATTTAAAGGTTTGGGAAGCCCACCGGCCGACAAATAAAGGATTTTGGTATATTTTATACTGGGAAATTTTGATATGAAAATTTCAAGCATCTGAACACCCCCCAAATCGCGATTAGAGCCTTAATTAAGGAGATAAATCGATTTAAAGGTTTGGGTAGCCCACTGGCCGACAAATAAAGGATTTTGGTATATTTTATACTGGGAAATTTTGGTATAAAAATTTCGAGCATCTGAACACCCCCCAAATCGCGATTAGAGCCTTAATTAAGGAGATAAATCGATTTAAAGGTTTGGGAAGTCCACCGGCCGACAAATAAAGGTTTTTGAAATATTTTATACTGGGAAATTTTGGTATGAAAATTTCGAGCATCTGAACACCCCCCAAATCGCGATTAGAGCCTTAATTAAGGAGATAAATCGATTTAAAGGTTTGGGAAGCCCACCGGCCGACAAATAAAAGATTTTGAAATATTTTATACTGGGAAATATTGGTATGAAAATTTTGAGCATCTGAACACCCCCCAAATCGCGATTAGAGCCTTAATTAAGGAGATAAATCGATTTAAAGGTTTGGGAAGCCCACCGGCCGACAAATAAAGGATTTTGGTATATTTTATACTGGGAAATTTTGGTATGAAAATTTCGAGCATCTGAACACCCCCCAAATCGCGATTAGAGCCTTAATTAAGGAGATAAATCGATTTAAAGGTGTGGGAAGCCCACCGGCCGACAAATAAAGGTTTTTGGAATATTTTACACTGGGAAATTTTGGTATGAAAATTTCGAGCATCTGAACACCCCCCAAATCGCGATTAGAGCCTTAATTAAGGAGATAAATCGATTTAAAGGTTTGGGAAGTCCACCGGCCGACAAATAAAGGATTTTGGTATATTTTATACTGGGAAATTTTGGTATGAAAATTTCGAGCATCTGAACACCCCCCAAATCGCGATTAGAGCCTTAATTAAGGAGATAAATCGATTTAAAGGTTTGGGAAGTCCACCGGCCGACAAATAAAGGATTTTGGTATATTTTATACTGGGAAATTTTGGTATGAAAATTTCAAGCATCTGAACACCCCCCAAATCGCGATTAGAGCCTTAATTAAGGAGATAAATCGATTTAAAGGTTTGGGAAGCCCACCGGCCGACAAATAAAGGTTTTTGGAATATTTTATACTGGGAAATTTGGGTATGAAAATTTCGAGCATCTGAACACCCCCCAAATCGCGATTAGAGCCTTAATTAAGGAGATAAATCGATTTAAAGGTTTGGGAAGCCCACCGGCCGACAAATAAAGGTTTTTGGAATATTTTATACTGGGAAATTTTGGTATGAAAATTTCGAGCATCTGAACACCCCCCAAATCGCGATTAGAGCCTTAATTAAGGAGATAAATCGATTTAAAGGTTTGGGAAGCCCACCGGCCGACAAATAAAGGATTTTGGTATATTTTATACTGGGAAATTTTGATATGAAAATTTCAAGCATCTGAACACCCCCCAAATCGCGATTAGAGCCTTAATTAAGGAGATAAATCGATTTAAAGGTTTGGGTAGCCCACTGGCCGACAAATAAAGGATTTTGGTATATTTTATACTGGGAAATTTTGGTATAAAAATTTCGAGCATCTGAACACCCCCCAAATCGCGATTAGAGCCTTAATTAAGGAGATAAATCGATTTAAAGGTTTGGGAAGTCCACCGGCCGACAAATAAAGGTTTTTGAAATATTTTATACTGGGAAATTTTGGTATGAAAATTTCGAGCATCTGAACACCCCCCAAATCGCGATTAGAGCCTTAATTAAGGAGATAAATCGATTTAAAGGTTTGGGAAGCCCACCGGCCGACAAATAAAAGATTTTGAAATATTTTATACTGGGAAATATTGGTATGAAAATTTTGAGCATCTGAACACCCCCCAAATCGCGATTAGAGCCTTAATTAAGGAGATAAATCGATTTAAAGGTTTGGGAAGCCCACCGGCCGACAAATAAAGGATTTTGGTATATTTTATACTGGGAAATTTTGGTATGAAAATTTCGAGCATCTGAACACCCCCCAAATCGCGATTAGAGCCTTAATTAAGGAGATAAATCGATTTAAAGGTGTGGGAAGCCCACCGGCCGACAAATAAAGGTTTTTGGAATATTTTACACTGGGAAATTTTGGTATGAAAATTTCGAGCATCTGAACACCCCCCAAATCGCGATTAGAGCCTTAATTAAGGAGATAAATCGATTTAAAGGTTTGGGAAGTCCACCGGCCGACAAATAAAGGATTTTGGTATATTTTATACTGGGAAATTTTGGTATGAAAATTTCGAGCATCTGAACACCCCCCAAATCGCGATTAGAGCCTTAATTAAGGAGATAAATCGATTTAAAGGTTTGGGAAGTCCACCGGCCGACAAATAAAGGATTTTGGTATATTTTATACTGGGAAATTTTGGTATGAAAATTTCGAGCATCTGAACACCCCCCAAATCGCGATTAGAGCCTTAATTAAGGAGATAAATCGATTTAAAGGTTTGGGAAGCCCACCGGCCGACAAATAAAGGATTTTGGTATGTTTTATACTGGGAAATTTTGGTATGAAAATTTCGAGCATCTGAACACCCCCCAAATCGCGATTAGAGCCTTAATTAAGGAGATAAATCGATTTAAAGGTTTGGGAAGCCCACCGGCCGACAAATAAAGGATTTTGGTATATTTTATACTGGGAAATTTTGATATGAAAATTTCAAGCATCTGAACACCCCCCAAATCGCGATTAGAGCCTTAATTAAGGAGATAAATCGATTTAAAGGTTTGGGTAGCCCACTGGCCGACAAATAAAGGATTTTGGTATATTTTATACTGGGAAATTTTGGTATAAAAATTTCGAGCATCTGAACACCCCCCAAATCGCGATTAGAGCCTTAATTAAGGAGATAAATCGATTTAAAGGTTTGGGAAGTCCACCGGCCGACAAATAAAGGTTTTTGAAATATTTTATACTGGGAAATTTTGGTATGAAAATTTCGAGCATCTGAACACCCCCCAAATCGCGATTAGAGCCTTAATTAAGGAGATAAATCGATTTAAAGGTTTGGGAAGCCCACCGGCCGACAAATAAAAGATTTTGAAATATTTTATACTGGGAAATATTGGTATGAAAATTTTGAGCATCTGAACACCCCCCAAATCGCGATTAGAGCCTTAATTAAGGAGATAAATCGATTTAAAGGTTTGGGAAGCCCACCGGCCGACAAATAAAGGATTTTGGTATATTTTATACTGGGAAATTTTGGTATGAAAATTTCGAGCATCTGAACACCCCCCAAATCGCGATTAGAGCCTTAATTAAGGAGATAAATCGATTTAAAGGTGTGGGAAGCCCACCGGCCGACAAATAAAGGTTTTTGGAATATTTTACACTGGGAAATTTTGGTATGAAAATTTCGAGCATCTGAACACCCCCCAAATCGCGATTAGAGCCTTAATTAAGGAGATAAATCGATTTAAAGGTTTGGGAAGTCCACCGGCCGACAAATAAAGGTTTTTGGAATATTTTATACTGGAAAATTTTGGTATGAAAATTTTGAGCATCTGAACACCCCCCAAATCGCGATTAGAGCCATAATTAAGGAGATAAATCGATTTAAAGGTTTGGGAAGCCCACCAGCCGACAAATAAAGGTTTTTAGAATATTTTATACTGGGAAATTTTGGTATGAAAATTTCGAGCATCTGAACACCCCCCAAATCGCGATTAGAGCCTTAATTAAGGAGATAAATCGATTTAAAGGTTTGGGAAGTCCACCAGCCGACAAATAAAGGTTTTTGGAATATTTTATACTGGGAAATTTTGGTATGAAAATTTCGAGCATCTGAACACCCCCCAAATCGCGATTAGAGCCTTAATTAAGGAGATAAATCGATTTAAAGGTTTGGGAAGTCCACCGGCCGACAAATAAAGGATTTTGGTATATTTTATACTGGGAAATTTTGGTATGAAAATTTCGAGCATCTGAACACCCCCCAAATCGCGATTAGAGCCTTAATTAAGGAGATAAATCGATTTAAAGGTTTGGGAAGTCCACCGGCCGACAAATAAAGGTTTTTGGAATATTTTATACTGGAAAATTTTGGTATGAAAATTTTGAGCATCTGAACACCCCCCAAATCGCGATTAGAGCCATAATTAAGGAGATAAATCGATTTAAAGGTTTGGG